AACGTTCCTTTCAAAGCTTAAGCATAGTGGGGGGAGGGGATCAAATTAAACAAACATTATATAACACCTCAAAAAAAATCACCATTATTGTTGGTTGGTTTGTAGTCACATGATTTATTGAACTCTCAAAGATGTAGCGGACATTCTGATTGGCTTGTTTAATTTCGGGGGGCGTTGGGGGAGAACGTTAAACGAAATTGTAACTTCAAACCGCCCAATTAGTGAAAAATTTTTTTTTCCAATAATAGGAGGTGCAAAATATTCATCTCGTGCTTCAAACTATTATTCTTTTGAATTATTGCGTAGAAGAAAAGGATATTTTAGTAATTCATATGATGACAGATATACTGTACTGTATTACCGCGAAATAACGTGCAGGGATGAAATTATAAATTTCGGCCTAAATTAAGCTTAATTCTGGTCGAACCTCGAAATAGCGTGGTAATACGGTAAGATGCTTAATTATATTGGTAAATACATAATTCAAATTATTATTATTTCTCATAATACATATATAATACCTTTCAATTTAATTCCATTTTAAATATAGTGCATGGAATTTTAGGTCAAAGAAATTTAAAAGAATATTTATGCAAAATCTCCGTAAAGCCCCAGAGAATACAAAAGATGGATTTTATCCAAAAAGTTATTTTCATAACGCAGCATTTAATATTATTGCTTTAATCTGTTGGGGTAAACGAATAGAAAGCTTCGAGAATCCATTTTATAAAGAAATTAATGGTTTATTGTATAATCTATTATATGTTGTCACAATGACAAATAAATTTTTGACCTATTTCCCAATATTAAAATGGTTGCCAGGAAATAAGTTGTATAATATGGTGATCAAGAGTAGAATGATTCTGAAGCTCTTTTTAAAAAGATGTTAAGGGAGATAAAGAAAAGAGACCTTGTGCCATTAGAGATATGCTTAACAAAGTAAACGAAGGTATATTGGATGAATATGTTATTATTCATATTTTCACCGATTTATTTTATTGCCGGAACTGTAAGCATTTAAATATTATAAATACTTTAAAAATTAATACTTTTTTTTTTTACGAACTTTATTAAAATTAAAATTTTAGAACACAGTTTCTTCAAGTTTGACATGGCTCACTGCTGTTTTAGCTGACCATCTTGAAGTTCAAGCTAAAGCTCATCAAGAGCTTGACCAAGTAATTGGCCGATCTTGTCTACTAAAAGTTTCTGATGGACCAAATATTCCTTATATCTGCGCTATAATTAAAGAGGGTCAAAGATATTGTGCACCTGTTTTTCTTGCAGCGCCTCATTATGATGATGAATATAATGGGTATCATATTCCATCAAATAGTGTTGTGGCTATAAATTCATATGGATTAAAAACGATATGAAAATCCTAAAGAATTTAAACCTGAAAGATTTTTAGAATTTAAAGAAAGCGGCGCATCTTTAACAAATGGAAATTATGAAAATAGAGTTTTGGTGCTGGAAGAAGACTTTGCACTGGAATTCATACGGTAATACATAAAATAGTAAATTTATATTTTTAATTATTTGATTTATAATTTAAACACAGGCAGAACGAGAACTTTTATTTGGGAATCTCGTATCTTCCGAATTGAAAACGCGCCACCATTAGGTGAAGATGGTAAACCAATACCAATTGGTTTAAATATAGAACGTTTTGCTATTACTATTTGGCCCAAAAGTTTCGTATTATATTAGTAAAGAGACACGATAATGTTAACAAGATTTTATTTAATTCAAATTAGCGCAAAAAAACACTTTCTAATTTGTGCTACACAATTTGCTCCCCTTTAGATTCATGTGCATTTTTGCGTTATCCGCTTTTATCGCTAAAGCCTTGTACCTATGTGATCATACCACTTTAAATAACATTAGGGACAGGATTAGCTTACAATTAAGGGGTTAGGGTTGTCATATATGTAAATTTAGCATGATGGAAGTTTGTTTTCATTGGCTAATCAACAAGAAGGACCGAATAATATATATAGAGGTTACATTGGCTTTAATGTAAACTGGATTCCCCTTTTATTAGAGCTAATTAATCTTATTAGCTTTAATATTTAATCAATTAACAAGCATTTAATATATTTTTATATTTTTCTAAATTTTGTATATAAGATTTTTAGTACAAATTTTTCATGTTGGGGTTAGTATTTGGTGTTGGAATTAAGGTTCAGGAAGAGTTTTGACTTATAGCATTGCATATTAATTAATTAGCCAGTTTTTTAAGATAATGCAAATAGGTGGTAAAGCACCATAGGTGCGCTTTAGTAAAAGTGACAAATATATCCTTTTTTTTTATTTGTTACCGTATTGTCGCCCATCTGCGCATTATTTTGAGTTATATAATATAAAAACTTTCCTAAACCTGGTTTTTCAAATAATGCCCATACAAACTTATATGTTAACCAATTCAAGTATTTAATATTTTTTTCGTATTTGTTTTTTTTTTATTTCAAAAATTTTTTTATTTAACTTAATGAATTATTTGAAATTGCCTTCTAAAAATTAATCGTTTAACTGTGTTTAGCCATTAACCAACCTTGCTTTGATAATACCAGTTTTGAGGAACTTTGAACATTTTGTCTAAACTATGAGACAAATTTTGTGCGATTAAATGACTTCAATTTTTAATTACAAAACCTATCTATATTAAATTTTCAGTATATTTATTTTTAGAATTATAATGATTTCACTTTTCAGAATATTTTCGGTATTCCATTTTTCAGAATTATAATGACTAATTAAGATAACTTGATATATCGTAAATCATATAATGATTATACTCAATTTTTATTGAATTTATTATGCCGAAAAAATTACCGGCCGAAAAATTTTTCGGCTAATTTTTTTATAGGTGTCC